ATCTATTTTCTGTCTTTGTTTGCTTTGCAATCTTGCACCTTTCTTCAGTCATCCCATGCAAGGGAAACGTCTGAAATTGCCTTATGCAATCCATATTCTATCTTGATATTTAAATTTCCACAAATGGATTAGATAACTCTTTTCCTCTTTGTTCTGCTTTTAAATATTTCCAAATCTGAAGAGATTTCAATTCGGGCTATGACAGGTCCTGGTAATATGGTTTGTTTGATATTTTAATGAAACTCTAAATTCCACAACAAATTTCTGTCCTTTTCTCTGAAGCTTAGGAAAAATTTCCCTTATGCCCCTGACTCTGATGTAGGCTTTGAATATACAGTTTACAGATCTGACTTTATATATAGCAAGTTTACAGAACGTTTAGATTTTCTCTGAACAAAAAAATCTTGAAGAAAGGGTGGTTCATTTAGTAAGTCTGATACAGCTTCCAGAACATGCTAGAGAGAGACCCCCAAGGGGACAATGTTGTAAGGCCTCTGGATATCCATTAAACAAGCTGACTGGGACTAGAAATGGCTCAGTCATTAAGAGTACTTACTGCTCTTGCAGAAGGCTTGAGTTCAATCCTAGTAATCATCATGTCTGGCAGCTTACAACTCCAGCTCCAGGTGAACCAATACACATGTGAAACAAATTTCTGTTTTCTTTTTTCTTTTTCGAGACAGAGTTTCTTTGTGTAACAGCCCTAGCTGTTTGGAACTAGTTCTTGTAGACCATGTTGGCCTCAAACTCACAGAGATTCACCTGCCTCTGCCTCCCAAGTGCTGAAATTAAAGGCATGTGCCACCACCGCCCAGCTGAAACAAATCTTTAAACAAAAAGCAAGCAGCTTTAATTGCACAGCATGGTGGTGTTGGAGAGTGCTGCACTCCGACATACGGCTACACTTTCTCCCAAAATCTAACCCAAGACCCAACAGCAAGCAGAGTTCCAGCCAAGGCTCTAGTGACTCGAAGCAAACACCTCAGTGTGATGATTTGGGGCAAAGACATCCTCTGTCTGCAAATTCTGGAATAGCAAAACATCAGTAGATGCCAAGGGGACCAGCCAGAACCCAAAGAAACCAGGAGTGTCTGAACAAAAGCCTGGGCCAGCAGGTACCTGGAGCTGGGGTTCAATGAATGTCTTTTGATGTCATGGCAGGTCCTAGAAATGATCTCAGCATTACCTTTAGAACCAGCCAAGGATGTCACAGCTGTGGCCCTGAGGCTGAGATAAAAAGAACTGGTTAAATCTATGGCCTAGGCAGTAAGAGAAATCCTGTCATCCCAAACTGTTCCTAGGACAAAGGAAATCATGATGATCTCTGCAAAATCAGAGTGATCTGGCTTGGGGTGGGAGGTCATTCTGCAGGACAGTGGGCAACGTCATCTGTAGAGTGTGGGTGCTCACGGTGATTGGTTCTCACAGTCAGGTTTCTCGGGTGACTCTGACTTGATTGGCTGACTTCCAAGTGAGGGTTTACGAGCACGTGCTCTGGGAACTGCATTGTCCTTGCTCAGAGGAAGAGGCTTAGACAACCAGCAAGCCTCCTTGTTACCATGGCTACAGAATAAGCAGTCTGTCCCTGAGTCACCACATGCAGAGCTTCATTCTAATTTGCAAATCTGTTTTTTGAGGGTTCTGTCGGATCCAGGTGACCTGTCTTGCAAATCAACAGACTCCACACTGCAGGGCTGAGAGTCTCTGTCCCCCAACTTCAGCACCACAAAGCTGTGGAAAGAGCATGCTAGATTTGTAGTAAAACCATAGACAAATATTTAGCATAGCAAATATTTTGTTTTGAAAACAAAACAAAACCAAAAAAATAAAAAGAACCCAAGAGCTTTAGCAAGTGGTACCTGTCCCCAAATAACTCAGTTATTGAAAGACATAAGGCCGGAAAAGCTGGACACTTTCCATGAATCTAAAATTGTGAAACACCTGTTCTAAGAGCATGCAGAGATGACGGTAGATCTAACTTGGTCCCACTGCTCACTCTGTGTTAGCCTCTACTCTCTTCCTGAGATCTGCTAGCCAATGTATTAAGATCTTATAGTAACCCTTACAGGTTACAGCCTGTACAGACTCAGTTAAGTGCTCCATTGTAGCTGTTGATCAGCAGAGAGCAGACAGACAAGGTCTGGAAGAGAGGGTTAGCCCACAAACCTGAAAGCAAGGGGACGTGGAAGCTTCTCAAACAGCTAGGATCTCCAACCAATGGATCAGACAGCCCCACGGACAGGAATTTCAATCACTGAGCTCTTGCGTGAGGGGATGTTGAACACAGCACCAGAAAATGGCCTGGGAGAAGGAGGATCCATGTTTCACGTGGAAGTGTGTCCTGATGAGTTGACACAATCTGAAGTGACCCGGGAAGAGGGAATCTCAATTGAGAAACTGCCTAAATCAGACTGGTCTGTGGCCATGTCTGTGATGCCCTCTGTGGGCAGCACCATGCCTAGGCAGGCGAGCAAACTTGCTGAGCCATGAGCCTGTGAGTCAGCGTCAGCATTCCTCTGGGGTTTCTGCTTTAGATCCTGCTCGGGTTCTGGCCTTGACTTCCTCACTGAGGAAAAGTGACCTGGAAGTGTAAACTGAAATATAAACCCTCCCCAGTTCAAGTTGCTTTTGTCATGGTATTTATCCCAGCAACAGAAGGAAAACGGGCATGGGAGATGCTTCTCTGAGAAATATGGGGCTCTGTTACTACTCTGAAGAATTCCTGATGCAAAACCACGTCCCAGTATTCCCGTGCCTCCAGCACCCCGAGTACCACAGCACCCCTGTGTCTTCAGTACTCCCAGTGCTGCTGTTACCCCATGTGGCCAGCATTCCTATCACCACCAGCAATGCCCAGTTTGTCCCATGAAAAAAATGTCAAGAGTAATGAAGACTTCTTGAGGGAGCAAGAGTCAGAGGGGAGGACCTCCTGGGAGTCTCTGGGGAGTTTGTTCTCTCCTTCTATTGTGTGGTCTCTGGTGATAGAACTCAGGTCATCAGGCTTGATTGCAAGCACCTTTACTCACTGGGCCGCCTCACCTCACCTGCTGTTTTAGTTAGGGTTTCTATTGCTGTGAAGAGACACCATGACCACAATAACTTTTTTTTTTTTTTTTTTTGAGACAGGCTTTCTCTGTAGCTTGGGAGCCTGTCCTGAAACTCACTCTGTAGATCATGCTGGCCTTAAACTCACAGATATTCGCCTGCCTCTGCCTCCCAAATGCTGGTATTAAAGGTGTGTGCCACCACTGCCCAGCTAACCACAGCAACTCTTATAAAGGAAAACATTTAATTGGGGGCCTTACAGTAGCAGAGGTTTAGTCCATTATCATCATGGCAGGACATGGCAGCGTGCAGGCAGGCATGGTACTGGAAAAGGAGCTGAGAGTTGAGAAGGAGCTACATCTTGATCCCACAGGCAACAGGAAGTAGTCTGAGTGTCACGCTGAATGAAGCTTGAGCAAAGGAGACCTCAAAGCCCACCCCCACAGCTAGCCAGCCTCCAGATGGCAAAAGAAAGTCACTCACCTCCACAGGGTACTAGCTGGTTGGGTGAGGTACCTGGTATGAGAGGTAAAGTAAATAAAATTTCAGTCTTCACTGTTTTGTTTATGATAAGTTCATTGGGATATGTGTTAATTACTTTTCTTTTTGCTGGGATAAAAATGCCTGACAGAAGCAACTTCAGGGAGAAAGGCTTTGCACTGGCTCACAGTTTGGGGGTTCAGTCTATCATGGCAGGGAGGTCATGGCAGCAGGAACCCAAAGTAGCCGCTCACCCTGTATATTTGCAGCTGGGAAGCAGAATGTGGGTGACACTGGTGCTCCACTCGCTCTCTCATTTTGTTCAGTCTGGGACCCCAGCCGACGGGATGGTGCCATCCACGTTTACAGTGTGTCTTTCCCTCACAGACAAGCCTGGAAGTTAGCCTCCCAGGTGATATGGATTCCACCCGGTTTTCAATCCCCAATTCACCACCACAGAATACCACAGACTAGACCTGTCTTCTGTGCCTTTGCCACAAAATCCACATGCCTCATGTTCTCGTTTCAGTTATGTTGCTGCTGCGATAAAACACACTGACCAAAATCAACTTGGGAGAGGGGAGTATTTATTTTAGCCTACAATGCCAGTCCGCAGTCTATCACTGAGGGAAGCCAAGGCAGGAACTGGAAGGCAGGCCTGCCTCCATCCACACAGTATCACCTCCAGCTGAGAAACTCGCTTCACAGCCAAAGGAGGACAGCAGGAAACATGGAGGATGCATCTTGCTGGCTGGTTTGTATGATGGCTTAGAGCAGTGGTTCTCAACCTTCCTAATGCTGCCAACTCTTTAATACACTTCCTCACGGTGTGGTGACCCTTGACCACAAGTTATTTGCATTGCTACGTCATAGCTGTAATTTTACTACTGTTATAAATTGTAATGTAAATATTTTTGGAAATATAGGCTTCCCAAAGGGGTCACAACCCACAGGTTGAGAACAGCTGGCTTAAACTCAATGAGTTTTCTTACACAATTCGGGATGACTTGCCTAGGGATGAGATTGCCCATAGTGGGCTGGGCAAATGCACGCACACACACACACACACACACACACACACACACACAGGCCATACGCCAATCTGATCCAGGCATTTTCTCCATTAAGGCTTTCGTCTCAGATGACTCTGCTCTATGCCAAGTTGGCAGCCCAAGCTAACCAGGACACCCCACAGTCTACTTATTTTTGCTGTCCCTTTAGCTGATGAGATATCCACAAACTCATTTGCATCGAAATCTGTGTTTTGCAACATCCTCTCTTTCCCAAGATGCAGACACTGGCACTGTCATTACGCTGCTATACCCTCTAGTTTTGGGACTCCCCACCTAAACACAAGCACTTCCTTTGGAGCAACTTGTGGGACTCGGACCTATCTGTACCTGGGTTCAGCTTTGACACCACCTGGCAGTTGTAAAGAGTCTGCTCCTTATACCATGTCTGTTTGTACCTTGCAGGTGAAAGATGCTACACAACAGCCCCAGATGGTGTTCACCATCCGCCATGCCACTGTTACCTTCCAGACAGAAGGGGACACATGGCGGGAGCAGAAGGAGCAGAGGGCGGCCCTCATGGTGGGCATCCTCATTGGGGTGTTTGTGCTCTGCTGGTTCCCTTTCTTTGCCACGGAGCTCATCGGTCCCCTGTGCTCCTGGGACATCCCTGCCATCTGGAAGAGCATCTTCCTGTGGTTGGGCTATTCCAACTCCTTCTTCAACCCACTCATCTACACAGCCTTCAACAGGAGCTACAGCAGTGCTTTCAAAGTCTTCTTCTCTAAGCAACAGTGAGCGGCCAGCTGCAAGTGGACTCTCCTGTCCCACGAACCTTCATAGTCCGCCCAGCAGTCCTGAAGATCCATCTGCCAAGGGCACCAGGGTCACATCAGAGCTGAAATCAGCTCACGTCTGTGCTCGCGTGTTGGGAGTTGTCTTCCCCTGAAGGCCCTGGTGGCTTCTGTCCCCAATCTGGGTACTCTCCCTCACTCTGTACCAGCTGCCACGGACCTGGCCCACAAAGTGCCCATTCCTCCTCTAAATCCACTCCAGCACGGCCATGAGAAGAAAGGAGGGAGGAGAGAGGGAGCGAAAGAACTCAGGCAGGTAGAGAGAGGCAGAAAGAATGGCAAGGCCTAAAGCTGTCGGTGATTGCACACCTGTAAATCCAGCACTCAGGAGACTAAGGCAAGAGGATCTCAAATTCAAAGCCAGCTTGGGCTACATAATAGGTTCAGAACCAGCTTGGGCAACAAAACGCCCTGGTGAGGCTGTTTGCAGAGCAGCAGACCATAGGCCAGATTTCCCAGAATAGCTAGTCCTTATTCAGAGTTGTGCTCTGCCGTCCTTGAGTGTGTGTCCTAACACTGAGCGCTTCCTAATATCTGACAACAGAACTTTGTCCTCAAGCATATCAAAGCATAGTTCCACTTGTGAGGACAGTAACTGCTGTTTTGTTTATGTAAATACAAACACACACACACACACACACACACACACACACACACACACACACACACTGCAGAAAAGAACAGTTTCCAGTTAAAATCAACTCAGTCCATCAGCTTGAAACTGGAAAAAAACACCAAAATATTTCCCTCCATTTGGAAACAACTGTCACAAAATAGAAAAATCTACTAATTTCACAGAATTTGTTAAAATTGTTTATTTGCTATGAGTTTTTCCTTTGTGTAATTCCTCAAAATGTTTCTGGCCTTAGTGTTTCACCCTAGATAATAAGACTTCAGGTTAATGATGGCCATGAACTGTTAGTATGCTTTCATAGTTAGTAGCCACAAGTGTCTTTCCAATCAGACACATGCATTAATAGGAGTGTTGGCTGCTTTGTAGCTTTGGTTTTGTTGGTATATGAACCTGACCAGTAGGCTCTAAGTTGGTCAGACAACGGTCAGATATGGTCTCTATCAAGTTGGCAATGCAATGGGTGTGTCTAGAGAGTCCGGTAAAGGCACAGAAAACCTTGGGTGCACCCACACTGCCGAAGATAGCCTGAGAGAGGTTTGAGAGCATTATCCGAAAAACTAAGGCGAAAAAGAAAAGATAGTCACCTTTCCAAAACCCTGTGCGTGTGAACTTCTCCTACAAACTGATGATGGAGTGTCAGAACCCACAGAGCTGTGGACCCTTCTCAGCACTTGGTTCTCAGCAAAATCCTGGGTGAGCAAAGGCACCCATGCTGAGAAACACCGTGTTGCTTTTACAGCCATGGAGGGTCTCGTCTGGGACACGGGAACTCAGAGCCACTGGATGACGATGTCATTGCAGAGTTGGTGTATTTCTTCTGTTGACTAGAAGTGCAACAACTTCAGCCTCAAGAGTTTTGGGGGGTGTTGTTTGCTTGATGTTTGGTTTTGGAGATAGGGTTTCTCTTTGTAACTGTTCTGGCTGTCCTGGAACTCATTTTGTGGATCTGGTTGGCCTTAAGCTCAGAGAAATATGCCTGCCTCTGCCTCCTGAGTGCTGGGATTAAAGGTGTGAGCAGCCACTGCCTGGCTCAGAGTTTTTACATATTTCTTTGTGTTTAAGACAGGGCCTCACTAAGTAACCTTGACTGTCCTGGAACCTATTATGTAGACCAGACAGATCTTAAACTCACAGAGATCTGCCGCCTGCTTCTGCCTTTGCTTCTGTCTCTCGAGTGCTGGGATAAATGGTATGTACTCCCATACCTGGACCAAGGGTTTTTTTAAGTAAAAAACTTTTCCAATACTCTGGGGCCTTTTTTCTGGGAGCACTTGCCTGGACCAGTCATACATCCTCTATATTAAGGGACTGGGTCTAAGCCAGGCTGGAAATTGAACAGAATGACTCACACATCCAAGACTGTTCTCATAACCAGGGTTCGCTAACTGTTTGAACAAGAGCTTTTTTTTTGTTTGTTTGTTTGTTTGTTTGCTTTTTTTTTTTTTTTTTTC